TGCGATCAAGCATGCATATCTCCGGTGCTCACCACAAACCGACGCTTTACCCCGTTTTGCCTCTCCTTTCGATGGCGCTCCGATGAGGTTCCTGATCGACCACTTGTTTAAGTCTTTTTAAGCTTCCTCAAGTTGTCAATCCTCTCTATTTCTCTGTTCTCTTGAATGGAGGAAGCCCCTAACACATTTGTCACTCGATAAATACTGCACATGAAGAAATTATTTCTTAAAATTGTTATAATCACAATTGTCGATCTATTGGCACTACATAGATCGATGAAAATACCTAGTTCGATCGTTGTATCGACCCCTGTTGGATGTAACCATACCAAAGATATTTCTTTGATAATTTTTAATAGTTTACGATATTTTTCAGATTCGTCCAACCCAAGATGCTATGCAATCTCACCTTGAATCTCGCAATTAAAAGTAGCGCTATTTTCACCGATGTACATAGAAAGCGATCACAACAAGTACTATGAAAACAGTACTAGAGAGTATAGTGATGCGAGAACTCACGCGTTTCTTCTACCAAAGGGATGTCAAAAATCGCAATGATCTCTTGATTTTTCACCAATCACGAGGATTTCCAGCTTCCTGACACCAAGAGCCACTCCTGCTTCCATTTGTGGTGATATTGTGGGAGATTCGCGACCAAGCCGGCATATTTGTTTCCCTCACTGCCACGTGGAAGCTTCAGGATCCCCGCTTCTGCGTCTTCCACAACAAAATTGAATCAAACTCTTCCACCCATGGGACCGACCACCTCTTCTTATGAAAAAGAATAATGAGGGATCACAACCGATACCATGTATTCAGATGAATCTTGCTCACGTCGATCCCCCATTCCTACGGCGCAAATAACTTTGATAACGGGAACCGCAACTCTGAAATCATTAATTCCCCATGCACCGTAACACATCCCAACATCGGACAGTGAATCCGTTCTATTTTATAGGGCACAAAGATCTTTACGGCACCCTAAGATTTTGCCGCAATTTAACCACACCGACATCTTTTAGGATACTCGTCTTCTTGCATATTTCTAAATCGCTAGGTCTCTCTGCATCCTCCAAAAGAGGTCTTCTCCAAAAGTCCTCAAGAGTCGGCCCTGTCGATTCCTCCTCGAACCATGCTTGCATCTCTTGGATCTCGATTGCAACAAAAAGTGACTCTTTTATCTGATCAGCTCGATCACCCCTCAATGACGCTTTCATGTCGAAATTCTGGCAACTCTCTGACATATTAATCGACTGGTGAAAGAGAAGTAAAATCTGCTTGCAAGGATCTGTTTCCTTAAAAGTATGAAGATCGTATATTTAAAAAAACCAATGGACGAAAACCCTGGACTGAAGAAGAGAATGAAAGAACATTTCTACTTATGGTTTGAAAATGTAACCCCCTAATTTGAGCGACGAACATCGGGTATTGAGAAAGTTTACATGCTCCCCTCTCCAAATGGTGTCACCTGTCTCACCTAAAAAATGTGTTGTCCCTTGTTGACGATCAGAATCGGTCAATAGTTAATAAATGTTTATAAAATGTATTAAATGAGTAAATGAACAAGAGATTACGAAGTAAATAAAGTTTTTCACTTAATTACGAGGTCGTCCTCTAATATTGAGGTCGACAAGTTGTTGGTGAAGTGCGGTTGCAGTGGGTGGGGTGGGGCTCCGGCAGCTGCGACGTTTTGCATCGGGGAAGTCGGAGTTGGGAACCGAGCCGCTCTCATCCCCTGGTTCTCTGGTGTTGGGGACGGCGGGGGGTCCGAAACTCCCGAGCTTGACTAGTGGTTTTAGATGAATTCGGGCTGCGATGGCTTGGGGAGCTGGTGTCGTCGTTCTCTCGGTTGGAGGTATGTCGTTTTGGGGTTTGGTTCAGGGCTCGGATTCGGCTTCTGTATAGGCGGTTTCGCAGTTTCGGTAGTGGTGCCTGGGCCTAGGGATCTTCCTTGGATCGATTGCTTCTCTGCTGGTTTGGGCCGATTTGTTAGCTGGGGAAGGGCATGAATGTGGTTTCCTTTGTTATTTTGTTTCTGCTGTTGGTTGTTCTTGTTCGTGTTGTTTAGGTCTGTGTTTTTGGTTTGGGCCGTCCTTTGGCCTTTGTGTGGCCGAGTGTCAACTTATTATCCTATTGAGATCAGACACTCGAGTATTATCTTGTTGGTATCTTTTTTAGTAGTTTTCATTTTTTGTTTGTGTAGTTGATTTTGTGTAGTTGCGAGTTTGTTATTCTAGCGTTGCTAGGTAAGGCGATATTTGGATCTGCCTCCCAGTCTTTTCAACCTTTGGTTGTACTTTTCAGATTTTGGTTGCTTCTCTTCGCACTTTGTGCGGGTTTTATTTATATAATATCTCTATCGTTTTGGAAAAAAAAAATACGCCACATAATTCAAAACCTCAATGACTCATACATTCTAACTCTCTAATAACAATAAACCTCGCGAACCTATTTTTTATGGACCCCACATATTTTATTTCATTATATTGTTTATTTAAATTTTATTTTTTTTTTAAAAAAATTATTCTCAAATATATAAAAAAATTTAAGTAGAGGTGGCCCCCACTAAGTGTAAAAAACAATAATATTAAAAAAAGTAAGTGGACTTGGGTCCCACAAGATTTATGAGAGGTTTACATCTCTAATTTAATGGTAAACTTCAAGGTTTGTGTTTTCAAACCTTATTCAAAATCCATTACTAAAGATTCTTGAGCAATTCTAGTTAGGAGTATTGAGAGGTTTAAAAATACAAAAACTTCACAATTTTTCCACTAAAGACAAGAGGTTTGAGGTTTTTAGTACGTGTTTGTAAAACCAAACCTCATGTGGGATCCATTTAGAGTGAATAAATATAATTTTATAATGATTTATTTATTTAATATATAGTAGTATAATGTTAAAATATAGCAAGTGAAAAATACGGGGCTCATTAAAAAGGGGTTTATGGTTATTTGGAGTTTCTAGTTGTAGGAATAAGAATAAAGTTTTGGATTATGTGGCACATCGGGAATATAAAAAGGAGATTTTTGAATGTTTATTATTAGAGATGGCTTTGTAGGATCATATGGATATCGTCAAAGACAAAGCTATAAAATATGTATAGAAATGTAAAAAAATATTTACAATTTATTAATAATTAAAACTTATTTTCTATGCTATTTTTATTTAAACTAATAATAGTATTTATTTATTAGAAAATTGTACTAAAAATCATCATATTCTAAATTTCTAGATAAATTTTTTAAAATATTTATAATGATTTACTCTTTCGGTTTCTTAATTGTAAATCAATTTAGTCATTTATAAAATTGAGTATTTAATTGGATTGTTATATTTTTTAATGTTGATTTTTTACTCTTTTTTTGTGTATTCACATATTTTTAAATTTATATATTATTTTCTTAAAAAAATATTCATTGATAAGATTTCGTAGAAAAAAACATGCTATGCAATGTGGTGCAAAAGTTCAATTGAACACAATTTTTTAACCAAAAATATTATTTTTTCATAAATTATAGATGTTGAATTTAAATTATAAATACATGAAATCTCATTTTTTTGTTTATTTTTTAATAGTTTGAGGGTAATACGGATTATAAAGTTTTATAAAATTTGATATTACACGTATATATATTTATATTCGTAGTAAATACATTTTTATATGAAGTGAGTGCTTCTACTTAAACTACAAGATCATTATTTAACATTTAAAATCAGACTCTCTGAGTAAAATTTTTAGATCCGTCACTTTATATAGTATCTATAGAAAAGCTTGGTTTGGCTTGTTGTAGACAAAGTTTTTTTATTCCCCAAGGCATAAAAGCTTGTGAAATATTTTCATCATCATTCCTACTCGAGGTACTGTATGTCAGGCGTTGTTTGGTTAGGAGAAAATAGAAGGGAGGGAATAGATTTTTCTACTTTTCTTTTAGGAGAAATTTTATTGTATGGTTTGACTTTTTGTTATTATGTCACAAAGTCTGAATTTTTAACTTTTTAATTTGAAGGTTTCAATTTTAAGTTATTCTTAATATAAGACTTACTTTTACATTCGACTTTTCAAATTAAGACTCCAAATCAATTTGTATTTTGATATAATTATGTAAACAACAATACTTGTTTTTAAATTTATTTTTGAAGTACTTATAATGAAAAATATTAAATATCTTTAATAAAAATATCTTTAAGATTATTATTTCATAATTTACATTTGTGCAAAAGCTTAATAAAATTTATTTTAAAAGTTAAAAAAAAATTAATTTAATTTTAATCTAAATACGTGATAACATTATAATGTAAACTATATAGAAAAATAATTTTATTTTTTTTTAAATAAACTCTTAGAAAATATTTTTTGTGAATAAAATTTATATTTTTGAAAAAGTTAAGAATATATAAAATTAATGCCCAAAAAATTCAATTGTAGTTAGTTTTATTCATAAATATTTTCTATAAGTTTATTTACAAAAAATAAAACTATTTTTCTAAATAGTTTATATTTTAATGTTATCACATATTTAGATTAAAATTAAGTTAATATTCATTTTTTTAACTTTTTTAAAATTAATTTTATTGAGTTTTTGCATAAATGTAAATTATGAAATAATTATCTTATTAGATAATTTTACTATATATATTAAATATTTTTCATTATAAGTACTTAAAAAATAAATTTTAAAACAACTATTGTTGTTTACACAATTATATCAAAATACAAAGTGATTTGGAGTAAAATTGAAAAGTAGAATGTAAAAGTAAGTCTTATATTGAAAATAATTTAAAATAAATCTTCCAATGAAAAAGTTAAAAATTCAAGCCTTATTGTAACACAATAACAAAAAGTCAAGCTCTACAATGAAATTTTCCATTTCATTTATATAGTTGATAAGTTAAAAATGGAGGGGAGAGAAAATTTAAGCAAAACTCCTACTCCTTCACCAATTTCTTTCCCTTCATTTTGAAGGGAAAAAAAAAAATTAAACATAAAATTGATATTTTTTCCTTGTATATGTACGATTGTATTTTTTCGCGTCCATCATCGTTAAAGATATAACTGTCATTCGTACATTAATTTTTATTCCCTTCATTTTTTAACTAAACAAGATTTATCACATTCTCGCCCAACCTTCCTAAAATGTCCCTTCGAAATAAGTAAAATTATTTTACATCTTCCTCACTCCCTTTCATTAAAACCTCCCTGAAAACATACCCTTAAGACAAGAATTACTCGAAACGAGAGAGAACCAAAATGGAGGAAGTGGAAGAGAGGAGGAGAATATGCAGAGAAAAGAGTCCAGAGAGGGGCAAAGTGTGCGTGAAGCCAAGAGTGATGAGGCCCACTTTCAAGAAACTGCAGATTGTTTATTATCTCTCCAGAAATGGCCATCTTGAGCACCCTCATTACATGGAACTCACTCATCTTGCTCATCAACACCTGCGATTGAAAGGTATTATATATAATTCATTATTACTTTTCTTCTTCTTTTTTGTTTTACTCTTTTTGAAAATTGTTTGACAACTTAATTCTATGCTTGCTACAGATGTTATAGATAAGCTGACAGTACTTAGGGGTAAAGCCATGCCTTCTCTCTACTCCTGGTCTTGCAAAAGGTATACATGCTGCTACAATCTTGTATAGTTATAAAGTGGTTTATTCAACTTTTAGTATACTAAATAATTTTGATTATTAAAAATAAAAGATAGAAAATCATTATTACCGTTTAATTTTACAGGAGCTACAAGAATGGGTATGTTTGGAATGATCTGACTGAAAATGACGTGATTTATCCATCGGAAGGGGCCGAGTATGTGCTCAAAGGATCTGAACTTATGGTGGAGGGTAATTCAATCTTACTTTTATTTTCATTTTTTACCTTGGAGCTTTTAGAGCGAAAAGTAAGATTTGATTAAATTACTGTACCATTTGGTAATTAGACAAAGTGCAGCAGCAGCAGCATCTTCAATTAGGACCACTTAGTACCCTGCAGTCCCCAAATTTACAGCCAAAACACGCCTCAAAGCGACACGAGGAATTTGTGAACAGAAACTGTCAACGGCACAGAGGAATTACCGAGCAGCAGGAAAATATAGATGAAGACGATGATGAGTATGAAGAGGAAATTCCTCCGACCATTGAAGCATTCAATCAAACACCTGGCGCGCACAAAAATAACTGCCAGTCGGAGTTAGCGATCCCCAACGGCGGCGGCGCTTCCTTGTCGCCACCGTCCGCCACGTCATCGACCGGGTCCGAGAAGAACGGTGGGAGACCCGGCGGAGGGGATCCGGTCGGGGCGGAGCCGCTGCTGAGCCGGAACTCGATGCTGCTCAGCCTCATCGCGTGCGGCGGATCGGCGTCGTTCAGGAAGGCGGCGCCGCCGCCTACGACGCCTCCGAGGAGGAGCGGAGGCGGGGTGGATCTGCGGAGGGAGGCGGTTCGGAGGGCGGCGGCGACGGAGGACGAGACGGCGGCGATGATGATCGGGTGCATGTCGGAGAACCCCCGTTTCGGCGGGGTGACGGTGGAGGAGAAGGAGTATTACAGCGGGAGCATTGTGGAGGCTATGGCCAACGTCAGGGTGGAGACGGAGGCCGCCGGTGGACTGAAGAAATCGGCATCTCACAATCAGGAAAGGTAAAGTGCTTGCTTAATTACAAAATTGCCCTTCACGTTTATTTCGTTCCTTTTTTTTTTTTCAATAAACCATTACCAATTTACCATCGCTTATTCAAATTCCCTTTTACCTAAATAAATCTTCTTTTTTCTTTCGGTACAAACCTAAATAAATCTTTGAATTATTGGAAGAGTTCAAATGGTATAGACGGTCTTATCTATAATCTTTTACTTTGAATGAGTAATATAAATTAAAGTATCACATTTTATCATAACCACATTTTAATTTTAAATAGAATTGTTTTACTCTAAATGAGTAATATAAATTAAAGTATCACATTTTATAATAACCACATCTTTATTAAGAAATACTTAATGATTTACAAAAAAAAAATAAAAAAAATGAAGTTATATGATGCAAATTTTGCATTAATTTGAGCTGCACCTCAGCCGTCGCTCAAGATTAATCATTGTCTTAAATTTATGAGGTTTAGTCCAACTAAATCACATAATATTATATGCAGCCTATTATTTTTGTCTCTTTTTATCAGCACATGTAATTGCATTGATTAAATGTGCTCTTTCAAACTAATGACTACAGAGAGCACTAGGTTCCAACTGAAAACGACAATAGTAAAAGGGTTAGAGGAAAACGAAGATAACCATAAGTCAACAGATTGAGTCATGTTGAAGTGTACAAGTCAATTGCAAGTTGATTGGTGATAAAAGAATGAGAAAAAATCATCTTGTGAAAAACATCAAGGTGAATACGTTCTTTGTCTTTTAGCTTTTGGCAAAGAAGCCAAAGGATAACATTTCTTGCCAGTTTTGAATTAAAAAAAAGAAAAAAACTTGAAGTGATTTTTATTTGGCCAGATATATTTTTAGTCAAACTGTCAGGTATGTGTCAAAATTTTTAGTCATAGTCTGATCAAACTTTTGGAATTTGATTTGCTGAAAGTTTATTCGAGCTAAGATTCGTATCTAAGTAAATGAACTCAAACCTGAGCTTCATGGTATTGAATTTCAATCCCCTGTTCTGTCCTAGTCTAGAGTTTAGAATAGAGAATGTCAAACTTTAACTTTTGTTTTCAGTCGTTTTTACTATATTTTACTTTACGTAAAATATATTAGTACAAAAAGAAAAAAAATAAAAAAAATACAACTATAAATTATTACTCTTATATAACATCATTGCGGACGAATTATTCATTTTACACTAAATTCTTTTCCTTCAAACATTTTTTCTTAAATGAAAACATATTCTATTGTAGCTTAAATTACTTCAAATTAATTTATTTACCTATGTTGCTTTAGCTTTATTATGAGAGAATGTATATTAATATTGCACAAATAACATTTTTCAAGTGTAGCTTAAATTATTTCCAAATTAATTTATTCACTGATGCTGCTTTAGTTCTATTATTATGAGATGTACGTAAATTAATATTTCCCAATTAACCTGTATTTATTTGGAATTTCAATAATATTTCTTTATTCTTTTTTTCCCTATTTATTAGGAGCACGATGGCAGGACTAGACGGAGCAGCAAATGAGGAATTGGATAATGACAAGTGCTTGATAGGGAAATGCATCCCAATGAAAAAGTCATCTTCCAAACAACCCAGAAAATAACTTCATATTGTCAACTCAAGTCCTTGCCCAGATTAAAAAAAAAAAGAGTTTTAATTTATTGAATTAGCCGTGATATATTTCATCCTAGTCAATGCGAGAATTTATGCAAACCATGTGCGCTTTTCAACTATGTAATGCTGCATCGGCAGCGTACAGTTGATGTGATATGGCGAGTTTCGAAATGGAAAACAAAAATTATAAAAAATCGTTATTATTAATGTTGTCACATCTTCTTTTATGGGTAAGGTGTGAATTTACTGGACTAAAATTTATTTAGTTGGTGGTTTGGTTGGTAAATTAATTGTGACTGATGCTTTCATTATTTTTAATTTATAAACGTAGCTCTTGAGTTGTCTTTTTAAATTATGTACCTCAAAGCATACATATGGTCGGCTTCACGTACAGTTAGTTGATTCCATTATAATAGATTCGAAGTGTAGTGTGTGAAATTTAAGTTATGGGTATGTACTGAAGCTATCGATGAACGATAATTATTTTTTTTATTAGTTTATAACTTATAACGCTTCAGCCTTCAAGGAGGCCTAAGGGCGTGTTTGAATATAAATATATTCGTTTAAAACGAGTTTTTTTTGATTTATCAAAGTTAATTTTGAAAAATGTGATATAATTAGTTGTTATTGGAATTTTATGTTTATATTAAAATAATATTTAAAATAAAATAATATGATGTAAAGTGATAGTTACTTAAAATTATGTGAGTGAATGAATAGTGAATTAAAGTTAATGTGATGTGTAAGAATAATTGATTGATATATTGATAATATTGATGATAGTGAAATTGAGTTAAACCTGAGATAGATTTTGAGTATGAATTTATATGGATTGAAAAATAATTATAAACAATACACCATAATTTGGTTGCTATGATTGAGTTTGATATCCTTCCTTTTGTTATTATTTCTGGACTACATAAAGGTGTGTTTTTAAAATGATAAATTCAATCAAAGTAACTCAAAGTGATTTTTTTTCTAGTTAACTATGGTTAATTTTGAAAAAGTAGTATAATTAGTTGCTAGGGAGATTTTGAGAGTATATTAAAATAATATATAAAATAAAATAATTAAAATTGATTTGATTGTAAAAGTAGGAGAGATGATATGAAGTGATGTTTAGTTAAAATTATGTGAGTGGATGAATAATGAATTAAAATTGATAGGATATGTGAAAGTGATTGGTTTTTATTATTTAATAATTAGTTTTTATTATTTAATTGTATTGATAATATTGAGGATAGTGAAGTTGAATTAGATTTTGAGTATGAATTAATTTGGTTTGAGTAAATTCTTTTACAAACACAACCTAAGTGGTTTGTCACTTGTAGGCCCTTTAAAAGAGAGGGGTCTGTTAACTATAAACACATTTTTCCTTATAACCAATCCGGCCCAAGGTGTTTGATATAATATCCTTCTCTTACAAGCCTTTTTTCATTTTACAATTTTACCCTTATCTAAACACTCAGATTTGTGTCCAGTCTTCTCACTTTCAATTTTTCACCCGAAAGCTAGGGTTTGTTGACTTGGAGATGACAATTCTGTTTCAACTGGCCACACGAGGTAAGAACAAAAGTCTAGTTAAAACGTACCTTCCATTCTTAAAAAAATAACGTCCCACCTTCATATTTCTAACATCTTGTCGGAAAAATATTTTCTGAAACAAGCGGTCAGATTTTGCGAACAAAACAACGCCACCTTTGTTAATCTCTCTT